AAAACACGTGAAGCTGGCAGCTCCCACTACATTGCTATTACCCACAAGGGTAAAGGAATAGCATTACTACTTGTTATTGGGAAATCCCTATATACATCGACCTCCCTCCTCAACGGACAGGCAAACCTGCAAAAATGCTTAACCCTTTCTCGCATTCGAGAAGGCACCCTCAACATAACCTCTCGAAATACTCAGCTTTATTTCCCCCCGATAATACCTCAGCAAATAAGCCACACCAAGAACAAGAGTATCTCATATCATCAGGGTCGAAAGCAAGAGTATCCCATATCATGCTTTCTCCCTGTCTTTGTCTTTGTCCTTGTCCACACCTGCAGGACAAGGAGAAAGAGAGCAGTCAGTCGGAACCTGAAATCAAACATCCAATCTGGAACTGACTGCCTGGAACCTTTGCCTGGTTGCTTACTTAGCATTGCTCTCGAGTACTCATCCTCAACTGCTGTCAAGGTCACGAATTCCACCGGCAAATACCTCATGACAGTTGATCAGATATTGGCTCTTTACACTGAAGCTGCCAAGCGTGGATGAGTCACTATGAAGGAATGTTCTGAAGGACCATTTAAATGCAAAGGTTGCACACCACTTCTGCCATGCAAAAGATTGAAGCAGAAGGTTCAACGTGAGCTGAAACAGATCACTACAGCACGACACCTTTCCATACCACATTCATTATTCCGTCAACAGCAAAAGTATCCCATATCATCAAGGTCGAACGTACTCTAGATTTGATGGACTTGTTTTGACCCTCAAATTCTTGAGTCGGCCTTATACTCTGAAGGGAACCAGAAAACCCTCCAGCACAGTTCAAGAATAAGCATGTGGAAAGTTACTTCTTCAAAAGCAAAAGTATCTCATATCATCTCTTCTCCATTTGCTTCTCCTTATCCTAGCAGCTGAATGAGAGACAAGGAGAAGGAGAACAATCAACCGGAAGCCGAAGTCGAACCTCCGATCCTGGGTTGCTTGCTTGGAAGTTTGATTGCTTACCTTGTCTGTCACCTCTTTCGGCAGATCTCCTAGCTCAGCGACTTGGGGGCCTCCTACTATAGGGTTTGTATCGCACTTGACCAAGCCCGAAACTACAAGTAAGCTTCAAGTGAAATTGATACATTACCTTGTGCATCTTCATCGGTTAAAGATACCACCCCTGGATGGAGGAAGCGTACTTCCAGAGAAGATGCCACATCTACCTATGAGAAAGATAAGGCAAGTGAAGACGATACCACACCTCGGTACTTAGAAGTTTCGTGATTACTCAGCGGCTTGGATCTTGCAAGTCCCCAACCGAGGAGCTTCCCTCACTCGGGAACTTAGGGGAGCACTGTTTGTACCATACTTGACTAATCCCGAAACTACTGAGCACCGGTCAACGTTATACCGTCAAGGACCCAGAAGAGTTTCCCTTCAACCAGAAGGCCAATCACAATGCGACACGTGTCGACATCAGAAGCCAATCACAGCGCGACACGTGTCAACATCAGAATCACAACACGACACGTGTCAATATTAGAACAAAACTAGAAACTCTCTTCTATAAATAGGGATCATTCTCCCACAATAATCTTTAATGCCATTTTGTACTAAACTATTCACTAGAACTCACAAAATGAGAGCTTGAACCTATGTATTTGTGTAAACCCTTCACAATTAATGAGAACTCCTCTACTCCGTGGACGTAGCCGATCTGGGTGAACCACGTACATCTTGTGTTTGCTTCCCTGTCCCTATTCATTTACGTACTTATCTTCACTAGTGATCGAAGCAACCAAGCGAAGGTCACAAACCTTACACTTTCTGTTGTACCAAAGTCCTCGCTGATTTTGTGCATCAACAGTACTAATTCATTATATATAATGATTATGGTGTGTTTAAACTTCTTTCATTAATTACTACATATTTTCTACACTCACAATGTTTGCCAGCTCGCTATATAATCAACTTAAATCAGTTAAATCCATCATACAATGCATTTCCTTCAAATTTTTTGTGATAAACTAATAGATAATTGACTAAATAAACATCGTGCAAAGTTTCAATAAAAATTTCCAAGTTTTTCTTACAATTTCAGTGGTTTTTATTCAATTTTTATCGATATCGATAATATCCCGATATTTCCATCGAAATTTTTGTGTTTTTGGACTAGCGATATTTCCGATATTATCGATATTTTAGACCTTGGTGGAGACAACCAAACGTGGACTTAGTGACTTACCACTTCAGTATCTTATTTAGAAAGAAACTTTTGTGGTACAAATATTATAGAGAGTTTTAACGAAAGTCCGCGGTACTGTTCACTTTAATGAAAAATCATATTTTTACACTAAAAAGTCAATCCTGGTACTATTCATTTTACCCTTTATTTTGTCCTTATCGTTAAAACTCAAAGTTTTCTAACATTTTTCATTAGTTTTCCTAATATTATATACATGAAAGGGCTACCACAACTCCAAGCAACAAAACTCTTTGTTTTGCAAGAGTCGGGAGAAACATCTATGGTACACAATTTCACTTTTACTTTGCAAAGAGTCTGTTTCTACGACTCGAACCCGTGTTCAATCACAAACGAGCAATCTTTTCTATTGCGTCAAGTCTCGTCCTAAAAATTATATGTTATTTAACACATGCGTATTTATATTCTCATCCATCCACAGCCACCAGTACCGCATTTGGACGTACTGGGGACTATGAAATGCAGCACTGTTTTCTTTTTAATGGAGAACTTTGCGTGCGCAAAAGAAGTACACGCTTTTTGCATGTGCATCCAGGATGCAGCTGCTTCAAACAAACCTTTTCCTAAAAATTACCCTATATATTCTTGGTTAATTAAATTACAAATTCAGTTGTTAGGCTGCAGGTCTCTGCAATTTTTCGTATAATTTATAAACATTTACACAGGTCGTCTCTTGTCCGAATGTTGATGTCAAGTTTTTCGAATGCTGACTATCTAGTCAAGTTGATCAGCAGTGTAGTTGTAACATCCCCTGTGGAGGGATGGGATAAAAGTGGAATTCTATGTTATGGAAATTTGTTATATTGGTAGGGATTTTAGGGTTTTTTTTTTTTTTTTTTTTTCAATTTTAAACGTGTTGTTATGTAGCGTTTTTATAGTGGCGGTTTTGGGCATGTGCAATAGGTGCCCTTGCACAGGGCACCCAATCTTAAAGGCCCCTAAATGATGAAATCATCAGCATATATACCAACTTGGTTTGTGGCAAAAAATTTAAAAAAAAAAAAAAAACTTCATCTTTAGGAAATTTTCTAGGTTATGCATGTGAATAAGAGAAATATTGCTTTCACATGCATAAGAGAAATCACAATTATGTTTTTAGTTTAGTTCTGCCGACTTTGCTCTAAATTTTTTATTTATTTATTTTCATGATTTTGGTTGATTTGAACTATAACTCAAGTAATAATGCTCCATTTAGATTCTTTATTAATACAACTATAGACATATAAATTAGCTTTGTAACAGAAATTTTTATACAAGAATCAATTTACTATGTTCCGCACAGTGACCTAAAATCACATTGCACCTAGTTTTTTAATGCCTTTAGAGATATTGGAATTTGATGAGTCAATGTACTTCTCTAGCGTGGGAGGATATGTCTTTTATTTACAAGACTGCCACTCGGATGATTTTAGCCAAATTTCGCTTTATTTACAAAAATACCACTCAGGCTTAGGACCCGATTTTCAGCTGCTTCAGGTTTGACTCGGGGAGAGAGGGGGGGGACATAAGGGCTGACAAATTGGAGAGAGACGATGGCTCCCATTTTTCACTCGGAGACGGCTGGGTGTGGCTGTGGCGAGAGGAGAGGAGGGGGACAGAGGGACTGGAGAGGATGGGGACAGAGGGATAGAGCTTCGGCTTCGGCTTGATGAGAAGGAGAGAGAGCCTGCGGCTTGCAGAATCACGATGATAGAAGAAGAAGCTCAGAAGTCTGATACGCCAAGTTGGAGAAACCCTAAAAACCAGAGAAGAAGAAGAAGCTCAGAAATCGGGTGAGGATGTTGACAAATCAGCAAGCCCAGTTTCAGGTGACTCTGCAAAACCAACAACCTGACCTCCGACGAACGATGTTAGAGGAGATTCGTCAGATTCGAGCCGAACTGAGGCCGTCGTCGACTGAGAGAACATCATCAATCCCGACTTTTGGATCGACTCCCTCTACCTCCTCCTTGTCCGCGACTCCTGCTCCGTCTCTCTTCTTGCGAGTTCACTCGGGTTCTGCTCCCCAGCTATCTCAAGCACAAAAACTTCTCCAGTTTCATTCGTCAGCTCATACATACGTAAGCTATTCGCCTCTTAATATTTTGATTTAGGCAAATTGTTAAGTTCTTGAAAAAAATTGAACGAATTGTTCATTTTTGTCCCAAATTGGTTTGGTTCTGGTTTCGAAACAGAAACAAAAACATAAACTCCTTCATCTACGATTCACTTATTCCATTCCAGGTATTTCTCCATTTCTCTTTTAATTTCTTACTTTTTTATTCAAGCGTTTAATTTTTTTATTAATTATATTACAAATAAGTATTATTGACCTTCATTTGGTACCAATCAATCAATTGAGAGATGAGTCGTTTGAATGTTTGATTACTTGAATCGGAGTCTCCAAGGAGGTGAAAGAGAAGGATATGAATGATTTAGGGTTTGGGTGTTAGTGTGTGAGCAGGCGTATTGATGACTGTAATCAAGGTATCACTTAAGCTCTAATTGTGACTGGTAAATTTTGAATGACTGTTGGTTATTGTTAAAATCCCAAATGTATGCAATCCCACTTTCCAATTTGTTGTGTGAAGACGTGGACCAAAATTGCTTCCTCTCAGCATAATTAGTTTCCACGATTACTCTTAAACCCTAATTATCCCTTCTCTCTCTAAAATCCATTTTTCGATTTCCGAATAGGGTAAATGGATATTGTTTCTGTGTGCAGATATTACTCGGAGAAGTTTGAAGGGCCCTGGGACAAGGGGGATTGCATTTCAGAGTAGCAGAAATACAAGGCCACCCTCTCTTTGCGTATCTAATCTTACCCTTCTCCTAAATTTTTATCAAACTATAGATTTATTTTGCTGATTTTATTTTTTGGGATTTATTACTTTTCCTTTGACTGGAAATTTTAGGGTTTTTAAAGTATAATGTTATCAAATTCTATTTTTCTAATTTTCTTATTTTGGGCTTTGCGGAGAGTGCTAATATACAGAATTTTTGGAATTTTTTATCTTTGCATGATTTTTGGTCTTTGAAATGGGTATGTGCTGCTTTTAACGTTTTGGTTCTCACCTGTTCCGTTCTTTGATTTTTGTTGTCTGCCTCCTTCTAGGTTGCTTCGTGATTTTCATTTTCCATTGTTGGATTATGGAATTTGTAAAAATGGTTGTAGTTTTGTGACCAAATACCAGTAAGAGTGTGCCGAAACACAAATTGGCATGCAGTGAACATACATTGAATTTGAACAAAATTTAATATATAAGTGAAGGCATATGCAGTGAACAGACATGGAATTTGAAACTGATAGGGTACTTAAGCTTCTGCCTTAGTTATTCTTTGTCACTCACTTTTGGAATTTAATTCATTGATTTCAAAGTCACTCATGTACTCTGACTTACTCTATTCACACATTTTTAGTATGCACCATTGAATTTTTTTTTTGTCATATATTATTCACTCATCTACTACACTAATGTTGAGATTTGGGTATCATTTTGTTTTCTCATATGTCCTATGTTTAAGGGAAATCTAATATATAAATGGATCAAAAAACTCCTGCTGCAGCACATTGAATTTGTTCAAATATTGATTGTTTTCCCTCTATTCACTTCAGTTGTCATCTTCTTCTTCGTTCTTTTTTCAATGGCAAAGCTGGACGATCCATGGAGCACATGTTGTTGAGCCTTTTGCTGCTATTGGTCTGGTCCAATTCGAATGAGTTGATGGAGTACAATCTTTAGGCCCGTTGGAGGAGCTGAAAAACCAGTCTTGACTCCGCCGACCGAGACATATTTCGAGATATGCTCCAGCTCAATAACAAATCAGACATCAGCCCAGTACACTACTCTCACTCTTTCCTACTTTCATTTTCAATTTTTTTTGGAATTTTGCGCTGAATTTCATTTGGTTAATTTGTGAAATTTTGTTTTTTTTTTCTTTTGTTAGGCAGCTTTTGGTGTGCCTGCGAATGTTGATTCGGCGATGCGTTGACAATAACATCAAGAGGGAGAGATTCAAAAGATGTTCCCAGTGTAGCTGTTTCAGAGTTGAAGAGGATGTTGATGCTTTTGCTGCAGAAGTTTCAGCAAGAATGACGGCGAGATGCACACAAGGATCAGGTTAGAGATCTGCGTTGTTTGACATTTCTGTGTGAACACTTTTGAGTCTCAAATATATCTCAAATTTGGGGTATCGGGTATGGGATGCTAAGGCTGAAAGTTCTTTTGGCTCATACATTAAAGCGGCACGTGTGCTTTTGGCTCATTTATGTACAAAAGTTGAATCTTTGGCTCATTTGAACGACACTAAAAAAATTTATGGGTTATAGGAACCGCGGGTTAAGAAAATGGGTCAAATTTAGGTCGAAGCTGTAAGATCATTTACATATTACAGAATGAATGATAAGATCTTTAGGGCTGAAAATTGGAGTAACTTCGTTCCTTTTGTTAAAAAGATGAGCACAAATTGGTGAAGCAGCCAAAAAACCCAACTTAAGTAGAAGTTTAGAAGTTTGTCACTTCCTGATATATTGACTGAAATAACAATAAGAAAATAATGTAGTTTTTTGAAGATCGAAAACAACAATAAGAAAATGGATCCGAAAATATAGAGAACAAAGAACTAAGAATTCACTCCTCCAGAGTCCTTCAAATACTTAACCTTGATTTTATAGAGTGCGACTGCAGCATCTTTCATGTTAATCCTTTCTTTCGGCAATGCTGCAGTGCAAGCTAAAGCTAATCTCATAACGGATGACAAGCAATCACTCCTGCTCACGAAACCACCATCTTCCTCCGTCCCAAGTATATCGGCATCCACAACTTCGTCTATAGCAGCATTTAGAAATAATGAATCTGCAATCCATTGCTTTAAATTCATTTCCCCAACAAACATCTCATCCGTTGGCTTCCTTTTTGTGAATGTCTCCATGAGTACAATACCAAAACTATACACATCCCCACTCGTCGAAACGCTTCCTTCCATCCCGAACTCTGCAAAATTTGTATGTGAATTTAGTTATGTATGATAAAAAGAAAATTATACTCCTAATAAAACCAGCATAAACAAAATTGAAAAAATACATCACCTGGAGCCATGTATCCAACTGTGGCTAGGGTCATTGTTTCCGTCATCGAATCTCCACTGCCGATGAGTCTTGCAATGCCAAAATCAGCAACATGTGCAACCATATCATCATCTAATAGTATATTGCTTGGTTTCACGTCACAATGAACGATAGGTATCGAGTAACCTTGATGAAGATATTCTAGTGCCAATGCAACATCTTTCATTATGTCCAACCTCTGCAGGATAGTCATGGAGCGGTTTGGAGAATACAACCACTGTTCGAGGCTTCCATTAGGCATCAATTGAAGCACCAGGGCTTTGAAATCAAGTTCATCGCAACAACTTATGATTTTAATGAGATTCCGATGACGGATATTGCTTAGCATTTCACATTCCTTCGCAAAACTCTTGAATGCCCCTTCTAGCTGTAAATTGAAAACCTTGAGGGCGATATCTATCCCGTCTGACAGTGTTCCTCTGTATACTGAGCCAAACCCCCCTGTGCCTAGTAAGTTACTGTCGTGAAGTCCATTTGTCGCCCTTACAAGTTCTAGGCGCGAAATTCTTCTCCAAAGAACTTGACGTAGCAAGGCAGTTTCTCTTACAACTTCAACATTCCTTTTCCTGCATAGCACCAGAATCAATGCAGCAGCCGCTAGGAGTATTACTGACATGACCCCTGGCATGATATATTTAGCTTTCCTCCAATTTGGCTCAACTTTTGTTCTATATTTGCATAATGGAAAATGGAGTCGGGAAGTACCGCAGAGTGCACCGTTTGATACAAATGAATCATCAGAGAAGTTTCCGAAAGGCCCGCCGGTTGGAATTTCTCCTTGGAGTTTGTTGAAAGACAAATTCAGATGCTTGAGATACAAGAGTGCTTCCAATGACTTTGGGATCACTCCAGATAGATTGTTTTTGGACAAATCCAAGAATTCTAGGCTTAGCAAGGTTTTAAATGAACTGGGAATAGGGCCTTCTAAATAATTGTTTGCCAAGGACAAATTAATCATTTTCTGAAGACCCCCAATGCTATCGGGAATGTTTCCGGAGAAATGGTTATTTGACAAGTCCATATTCAGCACTTCTTTCAACTTTCCGATGTCTTCCGAGAGTGGTCCAACTAGAGAATTGGATGACAAGTTGAGGTACAATAAATACTTGAGTTCCCACAAGGAAGATGGTATTTTTGAAGTTAACAAATTGGACCCTAACCATAGAGATCTTAGAGCTACTGCCAAAGTACCCAAGCAGGAAGGAATAGAACCAGAGAGCCGATTACCATGCAAATATAAATCGGCTAGGTTGTTTAGTTGACAGAGTTCATACGGGATATGTCCTTGCAGTTCATTATCATGCAAATCCAAAACTTGGAGATTTTGTAGCCTTTGTATTGAAGTTGGAATTGCTCCACTCAACTGATTGTTTCCCAGCTCTAGTGATATCAAGCTGCTCAAGTTGCCAATTTCTACTGGAATGTTGCCCCTAATGTTGGAACGGAATAAACTCACATATAGGAGTGACGTAGAGAGATTCCTGCGAGAAGCTGGAATCGTGGTGTTTAGTGGATTGTCTCCCAAGTATAAGCTTGTCAAGTTTCTAAGATTAAACAAGCAAGAGAGAGTGCTTGGTGCTTGTGGAGTAGAAGCATCAATTGTCAAATTATTCGAGTCCAAGAAAAGACGCTCAAGGTTTTTCAAGGAACAGAGCGTGCTAGGAAGAAACCCGGTAAATGAGTTTTCGCTCATGTCTAGCTCCCTGAGCTTGGAAGCATTGGAGAGGTTAGGGAGTAGTCCACCCACGAGGTTAGTTCCGGCTACATAAAGGATTTCTAGGTTTGGAGCGTTAAGACCGATGTTTGTTGGGAGGCTACCTGAGAGCTGATTGGAAGGAAGCCCTATTACTCTTATCATGGAGAGATTGAAGAGTTTGGATGGGATGACGCCACTGAGATTATTAATACCCAGATCCAAAAACTCTAAATGCGGAAGATCACCAATCTCATCTGGTATTGTACCTGTAACAATTTCAGAACGCTTGTATTAAATTTGTAACTTCAGTTTAACTAAAAACTAAAAACAAATTGATTATGAAATACCCCCAAATTTATTACCTGTTAAATGATTATCACTAAGAATAATCGTGGTTAAGTAGGTCAAATTGGCAAGACTTTTGGGTATGCTTCCACGGAAATTGTTAGAGTGTAATGAGATTATACGAAGCTCTTTGCATTGCCACAGTTTGGAGGGAATCAGACCGTCAAGCTGGTTTCGAGCGAAACTGAATTTTCGAATACTCGAAAGATGCTCACATATATTGTCCGGAAGACTGCCACTCATGTTGTTTTCGTATAGATTCAAAAAAGTCAAAGAAGATATGTTGAAGATAGGCACAAGAGCAGAGGCTTTTAGGGCATTGGAATACAAAGATAACTCCTCCAGCTGAACTAAATTGCCCATCTCGTTCGGAAGTTCTATAAAACAATCCGTATATATTGTTAAAATCATGTAAACATATATAGGAGTAGCTTCTTACTGGGAATCCCGTTCTACCGTAGCAAAAGTGGGATAACATTATAAGGACCATGTACTCACTATACAGGTTCTCTCTTTGCTCTAGAATACAAGGGTTTTACACAGTAAATATATGATTCCTATGATAGTCCTCTCATTCCATTTTTGCTAAAGTGGCACGAGATTCCTGCTAAGAAGGGGCTCGTATCTAAACTACCTAGTACCTATTAATAGAACTCTGCTCTCAACCAAAACTACATAAAATTGCAATTTTAACCCTCACACCAAAACTGCACAAAAATAAGATATATGGGCAATTTAGTAATTACACGAACATAAATTTTGCTGTTATTTACGACAACCTCATAGCCAGGTCACATAGCATGCCATATTTTAAAATTAAAAATAAAATAAAATCGTAAATAAAAAACATGCATACTTTAGAAGAAACTGCTCATCATTGTCCCAATTTTTATAAATGATTTCTTTTTTTTTTTAGAATTTTAAAAACTAATCACACTTCATATTAAAAAACAAAACAAAATGAAATGAAACTATTCACACACAGTATGTGCAGGCATCTACTAGTACATGTAGCAAAACCTAAGTCATACAGTATACCTTCGAACTTGTTGTCGTCAAGGTATATGCCCTTCACCATTGTTAAGTTGCCTATTTCTCTGGGTATGCTACCTGTTAAATATGTGCATGCATTCCAACAAAAAAGAAGGAAAAAAAAAAACAAACGAGATGATTGTTGTACATCTTATATATAGATGTTAAAATGAAACAAATATATCAAAATGTAATGATGAAGCAAGCAATCATTAATTTATATTCCTAGGTGGTTGGTAGTACTGGTGGTATGTACGTACCCGATAGTTGGTTCCAGCCTAGATCAATTGTTTCGAGTGCAGATAAGTTGAAGATAGCAGTCGGTATGAAACCCGAGAAGCCATTACCGTACAATCTGATGGTTTGAAGTTTAGCAAAGGACCCAAACCACGAAGGAATGGTTCCCATAAAGTTGTTGTTTCCAAAGTTAATCTCCTTCAACCGCAAACGAGACAGTTCTTGCGGTAGGGGACCATGAAAGCTATTATTCTCAAGGCCCAACTCAACGAGAAATGAGAGGTTGCCTAGATGCGGTGGAATAACTCCGGCAAGACCCATGTGCGAGAGATTTAAGGCCGTGACTCTGTGGTGGCCAGCACCGCAGCTAACGCCAACCCAGTTGCAAATGTTGGAATTGGAGGCAGAGGACCAGTTGGCGGTCAAGATGTTTTGAGGGTCACGAGTGATGTGAGCTTTGAGAGAAAGAAGCGCAGACTGATCTGTGCTGATATTGGTATGAGATATTGTTAATACACCTGCAGTTAAGCAATTAGCCATAATCATCATATAGATATAACACAAGCAGTGTATCATCGACAACATTTTTTTATAGTAGGAAACGACTTCTCTCCTTAATCGTAGTAGTTTTCGTCTTTCGGTTTAAATTCGATCGAAAACTAAAACTCATTACATTCACATAAATAGGGAAACAAGTTGGTGTTACCAAGACTTGTGAACGACCTAGACTTGCCCGGCTTCTACGTCAAGGTGAGGAGACTTAGACTTAGACTTAGACTTAGACTTAGACTAGTCGAACCATTGGTGATGGCAATTTAGAAATCATTGGTTTCTAATAATATCATAGCTTATTAGATTATAGCGGCCGCAATGAATGAGGGTTACTTCACCTCACTGAATTAGGATTTAGTCAAAAACCCCCAGTTCACTGGCGGAGAATAGGTAGGTTGACCATTTTGCCCTCCAAACAAGTGAGAACACTGAGTTTAACACCTTAATTAATAATAATTAGCAAACCTTTTCCATGCCATTGTTCTTCTTTAACATTCAAAATCTAGAGCATTTAGTTTCGTAATTAACTAAATATTGATGTAACATCCGACCTGAATTGACCATATGACCCTAAACAAAAACTTGTTCCATACAAACACAACATATGATGCAAGAGACCTCAGAAACATACTAGGCGCTGCCTGTGCCCGGTAAACGCTTGGCGGAGCTCTTGGTATCCGCTCCTGTTGTGCTCCAGCGAGAAACAAAGCTGCCGGATCACCTCTCTTTTCTCCTCAGCCCCATCCGAGATCACAACACTCTGCCTTTTCACCTCTTTCTGCAACTCCTCCACTCTTGTTTTCAGCTCATCTACTAGCCTACGCGCACTTTCGGATCCAACAATCAGACCCTCGTGTTCTGTTTGTAACCGACTAAGATGTCCCGCCATTTCCTGAATCTGATTGTCGCGGGAACTCACATTCGCCATGAGCGTTTGAGCCCTAGCATTGAGCTCGTTTTTCTCCGCCATCAGCATGTCATATTTCAGTTTAAACATGTCCAAGTCTTCATTTACAGCTTCCACATGTCCATTTTTATCAGCAACTTCTACCTTCAGGCGGCTTATATCATCTTGCAATGCCATCTCGTAGAGCATTGTTGTTCTTTAACAGCAATCTTCAGCTGCCATCCTTAACTGTCGAAATCAGTGCTCGGAGGTGGAACCAAGTAATTGCTGACCAGGGAATTAGGAGAATCTGACTCGGATCCCAATGATGAAGAGGAAGACGATTCAGCGCCATTCTTTAAAGTAAGAGCTGGACTAGAACCATCTGAGCTTAGTGATATATCAAAACCAACAACTTGATCGTCGGATTTCCGCAAACCATGTTTAGCATCGGGAGTCAGCAGAGGAGAGCATTGGTTGAAACCATATTCAGAACCTCCAAACCCCTTATGTGCTTCTTTGGTCAAGTGTTCATAGCACCCGGCTAGTGACCGATACATCCGGTGAAATTCCTGAACTAATTCCAACATCTTCTGCAAAAACATCTCGTCTTTGTTGGGCAAAGAATCACCATCTTCTTTGATCAGCTTCAGCATTTGCTTAATGCTCTGGTCCATCTCTGTAAGATTCAGCATTTTAAACATTTTATTAGGTCAAATCATCACAGAAGGAATACAGTAACGAACAAATTGTAATCAGCAAGAACAAACAAGATGAGCTCGCAAATAACCTCTTACCTTCCAGATATTCTACCAGCCACATTGAACTATCTGGAGTGATACTATTGTCCAACCCGGCTGAATCTGACTTCTTCAGTTCTGTTCTCTCCATATCAACCATCTGCTGACATCAAATGATATAAAGTAAACCACATAAGACATCAAAATAAAAAGAGAAAAGTAGTGGATTTCTGTAATCCCATATCACTCGGGCCTTTTTGGTGGTTAGGATTTGATTGAACAAGATGAAGCATGGATACCAATAAAATCTCGAAAAACTAGGATACACTGCATCATGGATACAACAATAAAAATACATAATTTAAAACATATTTCAACGTAAAAACATCCAAATTCAAGTTCATTCAAGTGTGAGAGTTATATTCCTCATTTTAATTAGAGACAAACTCTTTGTATTCATCTACTTTCAACTAAAGCTTTGTTTCCTATTGAATTTCTCCTCTTTGTATCCTAAAAGACAAATATTTGTTTCCGGCGAGTATGGTATCCACTGAAGTATCGAATACGAGATACGCGTGCTCCATCAATGAATGATAACGTGTAATTCAAGGTACATGTGAAGATAAAAATGAATGATTTTTCATTTTGAGTAGATTATAAGAGATTAGACATGAAGAAAATATATTATTCGTAATCTACCATTTTGTGGGGATTTGAAGGGATAAGTTTTCTTCACGAGCAATACCCCTATTTCTCAGCTATCCAATCCAATCTTAGACACTAAACGAGGGCTGAAAGAAGACGAATTTCCATGGCTCCAATAACAAAACTATCAATTGTGATGCCCATAGAAAAACAGAAGTAATTAAAGGGAAATTTACAAAATCAAATCAAATCAAATACACCACTGAATCAGATCCCAAATAAAACCTTTCTTACCCTATAAATTTCCAGTAGTTCTTATCAATAGAGAAATCCTCAGTTTAAGCATACCAAACCAGATGCTTGAATAAATTAAAACAAAAAGCGATTCTTAAAAATGCATAATCTGTATGCAATCGATTATATCAACATAGAAGAGTGAGCTCCTTGTCACTGACCTTTTGCTGCGACACAGGTGAAGAGACGAGAGAGAGAGAGAGAGAGAGCTCCAGATCCAAGCCCTTACCAAATCAGAAGATAAGTGAAGCGATTAATCGGTGCTTTTGCCTTTTAAGCTAAAAGCGGCTTTTTTCCAAAATCAAAATGGATTCATTCGGTTGGGGACAACGAGGAAACTGCTGAGAGAGGGGGGGGGAAGGACTCCAAATCCCGCGTTTTCTGTCCCAGATTTTTATGCTCCGAAAATGCCCTCCCACACACTATTTCATTTCCATGTCGTGATTTCTTGTAATGGGTATTTTCGTAACTTAACGAACTACTCCGATAATTAAGCCCTTAGAGGTGGGGCCGTAACGCATGGTGGGCAAGCGGCTTGCCGTCCCTGCCAGAGGTACAACCAAAGATTTTTGGCGGGAAAACATTCCAATTTAAGAAAATAATTTAATAAAAACAATCTGGTTTTATTTTAATGCTAAAAAGACATTTAAAAAATGATTTTCTATGAACTGTCTGCCACCTTATTGACACGAAAATTCATGTTTACTTGTTGAAAGACAAAAATTTCATAAAGAATCTTATTATAAGAAACTCCCCTTAGCATTTCTCTTTATTTTATTTCTATTTACGTTGACACTACGACACGAAGCTCGGAAGTATAAAAAAATATACTAATATATCACCAAGCGACTTTAATTTTATCAACAAAATAATTAGAGTTGAATTTGACAATTTGTAGCACATCGAAATTGTTTAAATATTTTTGGTATTTTATCTAATTTAAAAGTCCAAATCTATATATTTATCTTTTTTATTTTTCCATTATTTTCATAATAATCATTGATCAAGGTGGGAATCCACACAAACTAAGCAAAATTATTTCTTTTGGAACTTTATCATAGTCTTATTCAAAACATATGACCCCGTATTTTATCTAATTTCATAATTTTTGTCTTTTTCTTGTTAGACTTGTCTATCTCTACATTTTGTTTTGATTGACTTTTAAATAGATAATTTGTTATCTTTCAAATTTTATCTTTTACCAACCTTTTTTAAATTTGCACTCAATGTTTATATTTGAAGCTCAATTCTTAATATGCATACGTGGTCGTAGTCACATTTGTTAAGATAGATGTAATTTCTTTTACGCACCGGAGTTTGAATTTCGCTACCCTCATTTTAGAATATTTTAAACTGCATTTATAATTCTATATGTGGCATTTAAATAAACTAATTTTTAACTCATAAAAAAAATGTTAAGATTTGGGCTTTAGTTCTTGACCCAAAAAACATAAAAAAAGAAGTGGGCTCAAGTCATGCTTTCCTTTCTTCAAGGGCCTCACAGGCCTACCTCCTTGTCATTCTTTACTTTCTTTTTTTTTTTTTTTTTTTTTTTTTTTTTTTTTTTTTTATAGCATTTCAAATTTCCCACAACGCAAATGAGAGAGGTGGAAATGCATCACTGGTCAGGTACCCATGGGGCAGACAACCAAACGTGGACTTAGTGACTTACCACTTCAGTATCTTATTTAGAAAGAAACTTTTGTGGTACAAATATTATACAGAGTTTTAACGAAAAGTCCGCGATATTATTCACTTTAATGAAAAATCACATTTTTAAACTAAAAAGTCAATTCTGGTACTATTCATAAAACCCTTTATTTTGTCCTTATCGTTAAAACTCAAAGTTTTCCAACCATTTTCATTAGTTTTCCTAATATTATATACATGAAAGGGCCACCACAACTCCAAGCAACAAAACTCTTTGTTTTGCAAGAGTTGGGAGAAACATCTATCGTACACAACTTTACTTTTACTTTGCAAAGAGACTGTTTCTATGACTCGAACTCGTGTTCAATCACAAACGAGCAATCTTTTCTATTGCGTCAAGTCTCGTCCTAAAAATTATATGTTATTTAACACATGCGTATTTATATTCTCATCCATCCACGGCCACCAGTACCGCATTTGGACGTACTGGGGACTATGAAATGCAGCACTGTTTTCTTTTTAATGGAGAACTTTGCGTGCGCAAAAGAAGTACAGGCTTTTTGCATGTGCATGCAGGATGCAGCTGCTTCAAACAAACCTTTTCCTAAAAATTACCCTATATATTCTTGGTTAATTAAATTACAAATTCAGTTGTTAGGCTGCAGGTCTCTGCAATTTTTCGTATAATTTATAAACATTTACACAGGTCGTCTCTTGTCCGAATGTTGATGTCAAGTTTTTCGAATGCTGACTATCTAGTCAAGTTGATCAGCAGTGTAGTTGTAACATCCCCTGTGGAGGGATGGGATAAAAGTGGAATTCTATGTTATGGAAATTTGTTATATTGGTAGGGATTTTAGGGTTTTTTTTTTTTTTCAATTTTAAACATGTTGTTATGTAGTGTTTTTATAGTGGTGGTTTTGGGCATGTGCAATAGGTGCCCTTGCACAGGGCACCCAATCTTAAAGGCCCCTAAAAGATGAAATCATCAGCATATATACCAACTTGGTTTGTTTGTGGCAAAAAAATAAAAATAAAAAAACTTCATCTTTAGGAAATTTTCTAGGTTATGCATGTGAATAAGAGAAATATTGCTTTCACATGCATAAGAGAAATCACAATTATGTTTTTAGTTTAGTTATGCCGACTTTGCCCTAAATTTTTTATTTATTTATTTTCATGATTTTGGTTGATTTGAACTATAACTCAAGTAATAATGCTCCATTTAGATTCTTTATTAATACAACTATAGACATATAAATTAGCTTTGTAACAGAAATTTTTATACAAGAATCAATTTACTATGTTCCGCACAGTGACCTAAAATCACATTGCACCTAGTTTTTTAATGCCTTTAGAGATATTGGAATTTGATGAGTCAATGTACTTCTCTAGCGTGGGAGGACATGTCTTTTATTTACAAGACTGCCACTCGGATGATTTTAGCCAAATTTCGCTTTATTTACAAAAATGCCACTCAGGCTTAAGACCCGATTTTCAGCTGCTTCAGGTTTGGCTCGGCGAGAGAGGGGAGGGGGACATAACGGCTGACAAATTGGAGAGAGACGATGGCTCCCATTTTTCACTCGGAGACGGCTGGGTGTGGCTGTGGCGAGAGGAGAGGAGGGGGACAGAGGGACTGGAGAGGATGGGGACATAGGGATAGAGCTTCGGCTTCGGCTTGATGAGAGGGAGAGAGAGCCTGCGGCTTGCAGAATCACGATGATAGAAGAAGAAGCTCAGAAGTCTGATACGCCAAGTTGGAGAAACCCTAAAAACCAGAGAAGAAGAAGAAGAAGCTCAGAAATCGGGTGAGGATGTTGACAAATCAGCAAGCCCAGTTTCAGGCGACTCTGCAAAACCAACAACCTGACCTCCGACGAACGATGTTAGAGGAGATTCGTCAGATTCGAGCCGAACCGAGGCCGTCGTCGACTGAGAGAACATCATCAATCCCGACTTTTGGATCGACTCCCTCTACCTCCTCCTTGTCCGCGACTCCTGCTCCGTCTCTCTTCTTGCGAGTTCGCTCGGGTTCTGCTCCCCAGCTATTTCAAGCACAAAAACTTCTCCAGTTTCATTCGTCAGCTCATATATACGTAAGCTCTTCGCCTCTTAATATTTTGATTTAGGCAAATTGTTAAGTTCTTGAAAAAAATTGAAAGAATTGTTCATTTTTGTCCCAAATTGGTTTGGTTCTGGTTTCGAAACAGAAACAAAAACATAAACTCCTTCATCTACGATTCACTTATTCCATTCCAGGTATTTCTCCATTTCTCTTTTAATTTCTTACTTTTTTTATTCAAGCGTTTAATTTTTTTATTAATTATATTACAAATAAGTATTATTGACCTTCATTTGGTACCAATCAATCAATTGAGAGATGAGTCGTTTGAATGTTTGATTTTACTTGAATCAGAGTCTCCAAGGAGGAGAAAGAGAAGGATATGAATGATTTAGGTTTTGGGTGTTAGTGTGTGAGCAGGCGTATTGATGACTGTAATCAAGGTATCACTTAAGCTCTAATTGTGACTGGTAAATTTTGAATGACTGTTGGTTATTGTTAAAATCCCAAATGTATGCAATCCCACTTTCCAATTTGTTGTGTGAAGACACACGGACCACAATTGCTTCCTCTCAGCATAATTAGTTTCCACGGTTACTCTTAAACCCTAATTATCCCTTCTCTCTAAAATCCATTTTTCGATTTCCGAATAGGGTAAATGGATATTGTTTCTGTGCGCAGATATTACTCGGAGAAGTTTGAAGGGCCCTGGGACAAGGGGGATTGCATTTCAGAGTAGCAGAAATACAAGGCCACCCTCTCTTTGCGTATCTAATCTTACCCTTCTCCTAAATTTTTATCAAACTATAGATTTATTTTGCTGATTTTATTTTTTGGGATTTATTACTTTTCCTTTGACTGGAAATTTTAGGGTTTTTAAACTATAATGTTATCAAATTCTATTTTTCTAATTTTCTTATTTTGGGCTTTGCAGAGAGTGCTAATATACTGAATTTTTGGAATTTTTGATCTTTGCATGATTTTTGGTCTTTGAAATGGGTATGTGCTGCTTTTAACGTTTTGGTTCTCACCTGTTCCGTTCTTTGATTTTTGTTGTCTGCCTCCTTCTAGGTTGCTTCGTGATTTTCATTTTCCATTGTTGGATTATGGAATTTGTAAAAATGGTTGTAGTTTTGTGACCAAATACCAGTAAGAGTGTGCCGAAACACAAATTGGCATGCAGTGAACATACATTGAATTTGAACAAAATTTAACATATAAGTGAAGAAATATGCAGTGAACAGACATGGAATTTGAAATTGATAGGGTACTTAAGCTTCTGCCTTAGTTATTCTTTGTCACTCACTTTTGGAATTTAATTCATTGATTTCAAAGTCACTCATGTACTCTGTCTTACTCTATTCACACATTTTTAGTATGCACCATTGAATTTGTTTTTGTCATATATTATTCACTCATCTACTACACTAATGTTGAGATTTGGGTATCATTTGTTTTCTCATCCTATGTTTAAGGGAAATCTAATATATAAATGGATCAAAAAACTCCTGCTGCAGCACATTGAATTTGTTCAAATATTGATTGTTTTCCCTCTATTCACTTCAGTTGTCATCTTCTTCTTCGTTCTTTTTTCAATGGCAAAGCTGGACGATCCATGGAGCACATGTTGTTGAGCCTTTTGTTGCTATTGGTCTGGTCCAATTCGAATGAGTTGATGGAGTACAATCTTTAGGCCCGTTGGAGGAGCTGAAAAACCAGTCTCGACTCCGCCGACCGAGACATATTCCGAGATATGCTCCAGCTCAATAACAAATCAGACATCAGCCCAGTACACTACTCTCACTATTTCCTGCTTTCATTTTCAATTTTTTTTGGAATTTTGCGCTGAATTTCATTTGGTTAATTTGTGAAATTTTGTTTTTTTTTTCTTTTGTTAGGCAGCTTTTGGTGTGCCTGCGAATGTTGATTCGGCGATGCGTTGACAATAACATCAAGAGGGAGAGATTCAAAAGATGTTCCCAGTGTAGCTGTTTCACAGTTGAAGAGGATGTTGATGCTTTTGCTGCAGAAGTTTCAGCAAGAATGACGGCGAGATGCACACAAGGATCAGGTTAGAGATCTGCGTTGTTTGACATTTCTGTGTGAACACTTTTGAGTCTCAAATATATCTCAAATTTGGGGTATCGGGTATGGGCTGCTAAGGCTGAAAGTTCTTTTGGCTCATACATTAAAGCGGCACGTGTGCTTTTGGCTCATTTATGTACAAAAGTGAATCTTTGAATCTGCTTATTTATGTTTTGAAATGAGTGTGTTTGTTCTTACTACTGGAAGTGTTTCATGTGGAGATTAATCTTTGAATCTGCTTATTCATGTTTTGGGAATGTTAATCTTTTTAATTTTTTCTTTCCAGGACGAAAATATTTAACAAAATGAATTGTGATTAGAAAGTTAATTGAAGCTTTGAAAAATTTCGTGGTAAAAAAGGATGACAGATTACTGTTGTTTTTTTTTTCCTTCCTAACCAAAAATTACCTTTGATTTTCTTGATTGTGCATTTATTTAATATGTGCTATTATAATCGTTCTCAGTATAATAGCAGGACCTACTACACGAGCAAGACCAAGTAGCCGACCCTCTACAACAAAATCAGCCCGCTCGGAAACCCTAGCTTGAATGTGGTTCCAGAGCTCAACAACTGGGTCTACAATGGCAACAAAGTCCGAGTCACGGAGCTTCAGCGCATCATTCACGACCTCCGAAAGCGGAAACGCTTCTCCCAAGTCCTCCAGATTTCCATCTTTCTTTCTTGCCTTGCAATTTGTGTTATCCCCTGTTTGGTTGCTCATACAATGAAAGAAAATTGAAAGAAGCATCAAAGTAATTAAATTTTAGTTAAAGAAAGTGAGTGAAAGAGGGAATTAGGATTTTTATTAGTTTATGTGTTCCTCTCCCTCCAAACCTAATGGCTTAGCCTTTGATTTGATGAAACCCACCTCCAAAACCCTTCCTTGATCACCATCTTCAGCAACCCAATTCGGCGCTTACTCGGATCAGGACCTCTTGGAGATTCGGAGCTCCAGGTGAGATAATTTTCCCCAAATTTTCCCCAAATTGTATTCAATTTATCTTGCTTCATTTCATTTTCCATTTTAATTTGGAATTGGTTGATATGTTAGGTGGGTATTGCATGTATAACCAGAACAATTTTTTTGTTTGATTGGGGTCAAATTTTCCAACTTTCTTAGCTATTTGGTCCCGTGTATTTGAAATCTGAATAATATGAATTAGGGTTTTTCTGTTAGTGTCCAATTAGTGAAGAAAGGATGCTTCTTTTTGTTATCATGCATATTTAATCTGTAAACATCTGAAAAGCTGCTTAATTGAAGTGAGATTTCCAGTTTTTTAGCTCAATTTCATTTCTTATAGACAATTTTTTTTCAAGATTTCTAGGTTTCTTTTTGCTTTTTCTCTGATAAATTACTCATCCAGAAGTTAATTTTGTTCAACTACCAAGTATTGTTCTTGAATTAAAGATTTCTGGATTTTTTTGCTGCTTCTTTTCTGTTAAATTACTCAACTAGAAGTTAATTTTGTTCAAAAACTTACTCTTCCTCAATTACTCTTACAAGAAAGCATATGAGATTGTGGCACATTAGGTGTTTGATGAAATGTGTCTGAGAATCTGTCAGTATAATATATTATAATTCTGAATCTCTTCTTCAGCTCTGCCCACAAGTGTGCGAAGGTGACATGGTCCTGGTCGACGGTTCAGAAGCTCTGGTGATTCTGACTGAAAAAGAGGTCAATAACAAGAAGGTGATGGAATTCAATGTTTTGGGTTTGTTATAGAGGCATATTTGCAACAGCATATCAGATAATAATTCTAGATAGTCTGTTCTGATAGCTTAGATTGTGTTTCATGATGCATATGGCTGAAGCGGTTTTGACTACTTTTTGGATTGCTCATTAATTTTTTAGCTGCCCTTGGCTGGTACAAATATATATAAGAAGTTTGTCATTTTATCAACTTTTACTCGGGTCAAATTTAGGATCCATTTGTACTCATGCGTCATTGGGGTAAAGTGCACGTGCTTTGTTTTCTGTTGTATTTTTTCATCTAGGGGATAACGTTTTGTTGTTTGTTGGAAGGAATATTAAAACACATTCACACCCTATTTTGTCAAATTGTTCTAAAGTATCTCATGCTGGTTTTAGAATTCTCTCAACTTTCTAACTCAAATATGTGCCAAGAGAACCCAACTAAAGTGGTTCGCTGCTCCATGTATGAAGTATTAGTGAATTATTTGTAATTTTACGAAACAAAACGAATTTTTTTGTGTTGTAAGCATACATATTGAAATTTATGTTATAAATTTTTTGATAAGAACAGATGTAAATTAGAATCATACTAATATAGGTATGCTGTATATTGAAATTTATGTCATTAAAAAATATACGTAAACTTATATACATAAATATGATAGCACCATTAATTTGGGGTACTGTTATATTTAGTACAAACAATATGATGTCGTTCAGGTGTATTTAACTAATATCTGCAGTTTTTCAATTCATCTAGGGTATTTGTGATTTGAACGACACTAAAAAATTTTATGGGTTATAGGAACCGCGGGTTAAGAAAATGGGTCAAATTTAGGTCGAAGCTGTAAGATCATTTACATATTACAGAATGAATGATAAGATCTTTAGGGCTGAAAATTGGAGTAACTTCGTTCCTTTTGTTAAAAAGATGAGCACAAATTGGTGAAGCAGCCAAAAAACCCAACTTAAGTAGAAGTTTAGAAGTTTGTCACTTCCTGATATATTGACTGAAATAACAATAAGAAAATAATGTAGTTTTTGAAGATCGAAAACAACGATAAGAAAATGGATCCGAAAATATAGAGAACAAAGAACTAAGAATTCACTCCTCCAGAGTCCTTCAAATACTTGGCCTTGATTTTATTTAGTGCGACTACGGCATCTTTCATGTTAATCCTTTCTTTCGGCAATGCTGCAGTGCAAGCTAAAGCTAATCTCATAACGGATGATAAGCAATCCCTCCTGCTCACGAAACCACCATCTTCCTCCGTCCCAAGTGTATCGGCATCCACAACTTCATCTATAGCAGCATTTAGAAATAATGAATCTGCAATCCATTGCTTTAAATTCATTTCCCCAACAAACATCTCATCCGTTGGCTTCCTTTTTGTGAATGTCTCCATGAGTACAATACCAAAACTATACACATCCCCACTCGTGGAAACGCTTCCTTCCATCCCGAACTCAGCAAAATTTGTATGTGAATTTAGTTATGTATGATAAAAAGAAAATTATAACCCCTAATAAAACCAACATAAACAAAATTGAAAAAATACATCACCTGGAGCCATGTATCCAACTGTGGCTAGGGTCATTGTTTCCGTCATCGAATCTCCACTGCCGATGAGTCTTGCAATGCCAAAATCAGCAACATGTGCAACCATATCATCATCTAATAGTATATTGCTTGGTTTCACGTCACAATGAACGATAGGTATCGAGTAACCTTGATGAAGATATTCTAGTGCCAATGCAACATCTTTCATTATGTCCAACCTCTGCAGGATAGTCATGGAGCGGTTTGGAGAATACAACCACTGTTCGAGGCTTCCATTAGGCATCAATTGAAGCACCAGGGCTTTGAAATCAAGTTCATCGCAACAACTTATGATTTTAATGAGATTCCGATGACGGATATTGCTTAGCATTTCACATTCCTTCGCAAAACTCTTGAATGCCCCTTCTAGCTGTAAATTGAAAACCTTGAGGGCGATATATATCCCGTCTGACAGTGTTCCTCTGTATACTGAGCCAAACCCCCCTGTGCCTAGTAAGTTACTTTCGTGAAGTCCATTTGTCGCCCTTACAAGTTCTAGGCGCGAAACTCTTCTCCAAAGAACTCGACATAGCAAGTCAGTTTCTCTTACAACTTCAACATTCCTTTTCCTGCATAGCACCAGAATCAATGCAGCAGCCGCTAGGAGTATTACTGACATGACCCCTGAGATGATATATTTAGCTTTCCTCCAATTTGGCTCAACTTTTGTTCTGTATTTGCATAATGGAACATGGAGTCGGGAAGAACCGCAGAGTGCACCGTTTGATACAAATGAATCATCAGTGAAGTTTCCGAAAGGCCCGCCGGTTGGAATTTCTCCTTGGAGTTTGTTGAAAGACAAATTCAGATGCTTGAGATACAAGAGTGCTTCCAATGACTTTGGGATCACTCCAGATAGATTGTTTTTGGACAAATCCAAGAATTCTAGGCTTAGCAAGGTTTTAAATGAACTGGGAATTGGGCCTTCTAAATAATTGTTTGCCAAGGACAAATTAATCATTTTCTGTAGACCCCCAATGCCATCGGGAATGTTTCCGGAGAAATGGTTATTTGACAAGTCCATATTCAGCACATCTTTCAACTTTCCGATGTCTTCCGAGAGTGGTCCAACTAGAGAATTGGATGACAAGTTTAGGTCCAATATATACTTGAGTTCCCACAAGGAAGATGGTATTTTTGAAGTTAACAAATTGGACCCTAACGATAGAATTCTTAGAGCTACTGCCAAAGTACCCAAGCAGGAAGGAATAGAACCAGAGAGCCGATTACCATGCAAAACTAAACCGGCTAGGTTGTTTAGTTGACAGAGTTCATACGGGATATGTCCTTGCAGTTCGTTATCATACAAACTCAAAACTTGGAGATTTTGTAGCCTTTTAATTGAAGTTGGAATTGCTCCACTCAACTGATTGGTTCCCAGGTATAGAAATATCAAGCTGCTCAAGTTGCCAATTTCTACTGGAATGTTGCCCCTGATGTTGGAACGGAATAAATACACATATAGGAGTGACGTAGAGAGATTCCTGCGAGAAGCTGGAATCGTGGTGTTTAGTGGATTGTCTCCCAAGTATAACCTTGTCAAATTTCTAAGATTAAACAAGCAAGAGAGAGTGCTTGCTGCTTGCGGAGTAGAAGCATCAATTGTCAAATTATTCGAGTGCAAGGAAAGAATCTCAAGGTTTTTCAAGGAACAGAGCGTGCTAGGAAGAAACCCGGTAAATGAGTTTTCGCTCATGTCTAGCACCCTGAGCTTGGAAGCATTGGAGAAGTTAGGGAGTAGTCCACCCACGAGGTTAGTTCTGGCTACAATAAAGAGTTCTAGGTCTGGGAGGCTACCTGAGAGCTGATTGAAAGAAAGCCCTATTCTTCTTATCGTGGAGAGATTGAAGAGTTTGGATGGGATGACGCCACTTAGATTATTAAAACCCAGTCCCAAAATCTCTAACTGCGGAAGATCACCAATCTCATCCGGTATTGTACCTGTAACAATTTCAGAACGTTTGTATTAAATTTGTAACTTCAGTTGAACTAAAAACTAAAAACAAATTGATTATGAAATGCCCCCAAATTTATTACCTGTAAAATGATTCTCAGTAAGACGAATATCGGTTAAGTAGGTCAAATTGCCAAGACTTTTGGGTATGCTTCCACGGAAATTGTTAGAGGATAATGAGATTTTACAAAGCTCTTTGCATTGCCACAGTTTGGAGGGAATCAGACCGCCAAGCTGGTTTCAACCCAAATCAAATATTCGAATACTCGAAAGATGCTCACATATATTGTCGGGAAGACTGCCACTCATGTTGTTTCCGTATAGAGTCAAAATAGTCAAAGAAGATATGTTGAAGACAGGCACAAGAGCAGAGGCTTTTAGGGCATTGGACCGCACGGACAACTTCTCCAGCTGAACTAAACTGCCCATCTCGTTCAGAAGTTCTATAAAACAATCCGTATATATTGTTAAAATCATGTAAACATATATAGGAGTAGCTTCTTACTGGGAATCCCGTTCTACCGTAGCAAAAGTGGGATAACATTATAAGGACCATGTGCTCACTATATAGGTTCTCTTTTTGCTCTAGAATATGAGGGTCTTACACAGTAAATATACGATTCCTATGATAGTCCTCTCATTTCATTTTTGCCAAAGTGGAACGAGATTCTTGCTAAGAAGGGGCTCGTATCTAAACTACCTAGTACCTATTTATAGAACTCTGCTCTTAAACAAAACAACATAAAATTGCAATTTAACCCTCACACCAAAACTGCACAAAAATAAAATATATGGGCAATTTAGTAATTACATGAACATAAATTTTGTTATTATTTACAACAACCTCACAGCCAGGTCAATATGGCATGCCCTATTTAAAAATTAAAAATAAAATAAAATAAAATAGTAAATAAAAAACATGCCTACTTTAGAAGAAACTGCTCATCATTGTCCTAATTTTTATAATTGATTTCTTTTTTTTTTTTAGAATTTTAAAAACTAATCACACTTCATAGTAAAAAAAACAAAATGAAATGAAATTATTCACACACAGTGTGTGCAGGCATCTACTAGTATACATGTAACAAAACCTAAGTCATACAGTATACCTTCGAACTTGTTGTCGTCAAGGTATATGCCCTTCACCATTGTTAAGTTGCCTATTTCTCTGGGTATGCTACCTGTTAAATATGTGCATGCATTCCAACAAAAAAGAAGGAAAAAAAAAAACCAACGAGATGATTGTTATACATCTTATATATAGATGTTAAAATGAAACAAATATATCAAAATGTAATGATGAAGCAAGCAATCATTAATGAGAGGGAGAGAGAGGGGGAAGGGCTCCAAATCCCGCGTTTTCTGTCCCAGATTTTTATGCTCCGAAAATGTCCTCCCACACACCGTTTCATTTCCATGTCGTGATTTCAGTTTATTTACAAGACTGCCACTCAATGCTTTCGGCCAAATTTCACTTTATTTACAAAAAATGCCACTCAGGCTTAAGGCCCGATTTTCAGCCGCTGCATCTCAGGTTTGACTCGGGGAGAGAGGGGAAGGGGACATAACAGCTGACAAATTGGAGAGAGATGATCGCTCCCATTTTTCACTCGGAGACAGCTGGGTGTGGCTGTGGCTGTGGCGAGAGGAGAGGAGGGGGACGGAGGGACTGGAGAGGATGGGGACAGAGGGATAGAGCTTCGGCTTCGGTTTGATGAGAGGGAGAGAGAGCCTGCGGCTTTCAGAATCACGATGATAGAAGAAGAAGCTCAGAAGTCTGATACGCCAAGTTGGAGAAACCCTAAAAACCAGAGAAGAAGAAGAAGCTCAGAAATCGGGTGAGGATGTTGACAAATCAGCAAGCCCAGTTTCAGGCGACTCTGCAAAACCAACAACCTGACCTCCGACGAGAGGAGATTTGTCAGATTCGAGCCGAACCGAGGCTGTCGTCGACTGAGAGAACATCATCAATCCCGACTTTTGGATCGACTCCCTCTACCAAGGAAGAAAATATCGGTAGTCCGAAAACACGGAAATATCGATGGAAATATCGGGATAATATCGATATCGATAAAAATTACATGGAAACCACGGAAATTGTAAGAAAAACTTGGAAATTTTTATTGAAACTTTGCAGGATGTTTATTTAGTCAATTATCTATTAGTTTATCACAAAAAATTGGAAGGAAATGCATTGCATGATGGATTTAACATTATCAAGTTGATTATATAGCGAGCTGACAAACATTGTGACTATAGAAAATATGTAGAAATTAATGAAAGAAGTCTAAACACACCATAATCATTTATATATAATGAATTAGTACAATATTTTACACTTTATACATTGCATGGTAAGATACATGAGTGGCTTAGTACCACATAGAGTTCCTATGAGGTTCAAAATTTTCAATATCTTCATCATCTCTATGTGTAGAGTAAGTGTATTTTGAAGAGTAGTTACCAACTATGGCAATGGTTTTCAAGAACCAAAACCCAAAAGTCAATAGGAAACCGAATACTTCGGTATTTTTCGGGATTACCAAACAAATGGGATTTGGAAACCAATCCCATATCGAAAATTTCGGTATTTTTCGGGATGGGATTCCCGAACTTCAGGATGGTTTTGGTTTGGGATTTTTCGGTTTAAGTTTGGGACTTTTTCGGTTTGGTTTGGGATTTTCCGGAATTTTTTCCAGCCCTTGACCAAATAAAAAATAGAAAAATTAAAAACCACTTGCCATTGACTAAGTAATTAATTGACACAATTTAAAATATAATACCACAAAAAATTTGGAATATGTGCAAATTTGTTTCTTGTAAAAATAAACCATATATATAAATATTGTAGCTTATTATCATAACAACATAAGTGGTACAGTGGTTAAGGCCTTAAGAAGTTAAGGGGGAGGGGTTCGAACCCCTTTATGCTCAAAACCGAGTCTTTTCCAAATTTTAAGGAATTTTTGGACTAATATCGCGATATTTTGACGAAAACTCATTGGATACTCCTTAAAATATCGGTAAGTCAAAAAAAACGAAAATATCGGCGATATTTCGCCGATATTTTCGATATTTAAATCCATGCCCTCTACCTCCTCCCTGTCCGCGACTCCTGCTCCGTCTCTCTTCTTGCGAGTTCGCTTGGGTTCTGCTCCCCAGCTATTTCAAGCACAAAAACTTCTCCAGTTTCATTCGTCAGCTCATACATATGTAAGCTCTTCGCCTCTTAATATTTTGATTTAGGCAAATTGCCAAGGACAAATCAATCATTTTCTGAAGACCCCCAATGCTATCGGGAATGTTTCCGGAGAAATGGTTATTTGACAAGTCCATATTCAGCACATCTTTCAACTTTCCGATGTCTTCCGAGAGTGGTCCAACTAGAGAATTGGATGACAAGTTTAGGTCCAATATATACTTGAGTTCCCACAAGGAAGATGGTATTTTTGAAGTTAACAAATTGGACCCTAACCATAGAAATCTTAGAGCTACTGCCAAAGTACCCAAGCAGGAAGGAATAGAACCAAAGAGCCGATTACCAGCCAAAGCTAAATAGGCTAGGTTGTTTAGTTGACAGAGTTCATACGGGATATGCCCTTGCAGTTCGTTATCATACAAATACAAAACTTGGAGATTTTGTAGCCTTTGTATTGAAGTTGGAATTGCTCCACTCAACTGATTGGTTCCCAGGTCTAGTAATATCAAGCTGCTCAAGTTGCCAATTTCTACTGGAATGTTGCCCCTGATGTTGGAACGGAATAAACTCACATATAGGAGTGACGTAGAGAGATTCCTGCGAGAAGCTGGAATCGTGGTGTTTAGTGGATTGTCTCCCAAGAATAACCTTGTCAAATTTCTAAGATTAAACAAGCAAGAGAGAGTGCTTGCTGCTTGTGGAGTAGAAGCATCAATTGTCAAATTATTCGAGTACAATAAAAGATACTCAAGGTTTTTCAAGGAACAGAGCGTGCTAGGAAGAAACCCGGAAAATGAGTTTTCGCTCATGACTAGCACCCTGAGCTTGGAAGCATTGGAGAAGTTAGGGAGTAGTCCACCCACGAGGTTAGTTCTGGCTACAGTAAAGAATTCTAGGTTTGGAGCGTTAAGACCGATGTTTGCTGGGAGGCTACCTGAGACCTGATTGAAAGAAAGCCTTATTATTTTTATCATGGAGAGATTGAAGAGTTTGGATGGGATGACGCCACTGAGATTATTAAATTGCAGTCCCAAAATCTCTAACTGCGGAAGATCACCAATCTTATCCGGTATTGTACCTGTAACAATTTCAGAACGTTTGTATTAAATTTGTAACTTCAGTTTAACTAAAAACTAAAAAACAAATTGATTATAAAATGCCCCCAAATTTATTACCTGTTAAATGATTCTCACCAAGACGAATATCGGTTAAGTAGGTCAAATTGCCAAGACTTTTGGGTATGCTTCCACGGAAATTGTTAGAGTATAATGAGATTTCACGAAGCTCTTTGCGTTGCCACAGTTTGGAGGGAATCAGACCGCCAAGCTGGTTTCGACCCAAATCAAATATTCGAATACTCGAAAGATGCTCACATATATTGTCCGGAAGACTGCCACTCATGTTGTTTCCGTATAGAGTCAAAAAAGTCAAAGAAGATATGTTGAAGACAGGTACAAGAGCATAGGCTTTTAGGGCATTGGACTGCACAAACAACTCCTCCAGTTGAACTAAACTGCCCATCTCGTTCGGAAGTTCTATAAATCAATCCGTATATATTGTTAAAATCATGTAAACATATATAGGAGTAGCTTCTTACTGGGAATCCCGTTCTACCGTAGCAAAAGTGGGATAACATTATAAGGACCATGTGCTCACTATATAGGTTCTCTTTTTGCTCTAGAATATTAGGGTCTTACACATTAAATATACGATTCCTATGATAGTCCTCTCATTCCATTTTTGCTAAAGTGGAACAAGATTCCTGCTAAGAAGGGGTTCGTATCTAAACTACCTAGTACCTATTAATAGAACTCTGAATAGAACTCTGCTCTCAACCAAAACTACATAAAATTGCAATTTTAACCCTCACACCAAAACTGCACAAAAATAAAATATATGGGCAATTTAGTAATTACATGAACATAAATTTTGTTATTATTTACGACAACCTCACAGCCAGGTCAATATGGCATGCCCTATTTAAAAATTAAAAATAAAATAAAATAGTAAATAAAAAACATGTCTGCTTTAGAAGAAACTGCTCATCATTGTCCCAATTTTTATAATTGATATCTTTTTTTTTTAGAATTTTAAAAACTAATCACACTTCATAGTAAAAAAAACAAAATGAAATGAAATTATTCACACAGTGTGTGTGTAGGTATCTGCTAGTATACATGTAACAAAACCTAAGTCATACAGTATACCTTCGAACTTGTTGTCGTCAAGGTATATGCCCTTCACCATTGTTAAGTTGCCTATTTCTCTGGGTATGCTACCTGTTAAATATGTGCATGCATTCCAACAAAAATGAAGGAAAATAAATAAATAAAACAAACGAGATGATTGTTATACATGTTATATATAGATGTTAAAATGAAACAAATATATCAAAATGTAATGATGAAGCAAGCAATCATTAACTTATATTCCTAGGTGGCTGGTACTGGTGGTATGTACGTACCCGATAGTTGGTTCCTGCTTAGATTAATTATTTCGAGTGCAAATAAGTTGAAGATAGCAGCCGGTATGAAACCCGAGAAGCCATTACCGTACAATTTGATGGTTTGAAGTTTAGCAAAGGACCCAAACCACGAAGGAATGGTTCCCATAAAGCCGTTGTTTCCAAAGTTAATCTCCTTCAACCGGCGCAAACGAGACAGTTCTTGCGGTAGGGGACCATGAAAGCTATTATTCTCAAGCCCAACTCAACGAGAAATGAGAGGTTGCCTAGATGTGGAGGAATAACTCCGGCAAGACCCATGTGCGAGAGATTTAAGGCCGTGACTCTGTGGTGGCTAGCACCGCAGCTAACGCCAACCCAGTTGCAAATGTTGGAATTGGAGGCAGAGGACCACGTGTCCATTTCTATCAGCAACTTCAACTTTCAGGCGGCTTATTTCATCTTGCAATGCCATCTCGTAGACAGCATGCAGCCTTTCCATTTCCATCTTATCCGTTTCACATTGCCTTATTTCGTACTCTAACCTCTTGTTTGCCTTATTTCGTACTCTAACCTCTTGTTTCTCAAACTCAATTCTTCAAGTCTCGTGTCCAAGACAATTTGTTTCGCTGCAAAACTTGAATGCCTGCAGGTCTGCTTTCTCAAGCGAGAATTGTTCCTGTGCATCACGCAATGCGCCCTTCAGTTGCATCACCTCAAGATCGCGGCCGAATATGTCACCTCACAATCCTCTCCTGCAGCTCCGAAACATGCTTTCTCTCAGAGTCAAGTTGAGATTCAAAACCTTGCATTTGATCAGCGCCTTTGGAAATTCTATCGGCAAGTTCATGCTTCAAATTCGCAATCTCTTTGTTCGACCCCTTAAGCCTTTCTTTAGTCACTTCCAAGTCCTCCATCAATTTCCGAATCTCATTATCACTGTCTAATGCACGATTTTCCAACTCAACTGTCTGTTCTTGCAGCTCGAAGACACACATTTTCTCCATTGTAAGATCAGACTCCTTTACCTGGAGCTTCTCTTTCAAGCTCAGCAATCTTCTGCTGCCATCCCTGACTGTCGAAATCAGCGCTCGGAGGTGGAACCGAGTAATTGCTGACCGGGGAATTAGGAGAATCTGACTCGGATCCCAATGATGAAGAGGAAGATGATTCAGCGCCATTCTTTATAGAAAGAGCTGGACTAGAACCATCTGAGCTTAGTGATATATCAAAACCAACAACTTGATCGTCGGATTTCCGCAAACCATGTTTAGCATCGGGAGTCAGCAGAGGAGAGCCTTGGTTGAAACCATATTCAGAATCTCCAAACCCCTTATGTGCTTTGTTCAAGTGTTCATAGCATCCGGCCAGTGAACGATACATCCGGTGAAATTCCTGAACTAATTCCGGCTTCTTCTGCAAAAACGTTTCGTCTTTGTTGGGCAAAGAATCACCATCTTCTTTGATCAGCTTCAGCATTTGCTTAATGCTCTGGTCCATCTCTGTAAGATTCAGCATTTTAAACATTTTATTAGGTCAAATCATCGCAGAAGGATTACAGTAACAAACAAATTGTAATCAGCAAGAACAAACAAGATGAGCTCGCAAATAACCACTAACCTTCCAGATATTCTACCAGCCACATTGAACTATCTGGAGTGATACTATTGTCCAACCCGGCTGAATCTGACTTCTTCAGTTCTGTTTTCTCCATATCAACCATCTGCTGACATCAAATGATATAAAGTAAACCACATAAGACATCAAAATAAAAAGAGAAAAGTACTGGATTTCTGTAATCCCATATCACTCGGGGCTTTTTGGTGGTTAGGATTTGATTGAACAAGATGAAGCATGGATACCAATAAGGTGATACTATACACACGGCACGATAATACGTAAAATCTCGAAAAACTAGGATACACTGCGTCATGGATACGACAATAAAAATACATAATTTAAAACATATTTCAACGTAAAAACATCCAAATTCAAGTTCATTCAAGTGTGAGAGTTATATTCCTTATTTTAATTAGAGACAAACTCTTTGTATTCATCTACTTTCAACTAAAGCTTTGTTTCCTATTGATTTTCTCCTCTTAATTTTTTATTTGAAATTGTAACGATATCCTAAAAGACAAATACTTGTATCCGGCGAGTATGGTATCCACTGAAGTATCGAATACGAGATACGCGTGCTCCATCAACGAATGATAACGTGTAATTCAAGGTACCTGTGAAGATAAAAATGAATGATTTTTCATTTGTAGTATGTTATAAGAGATTAGACACGAAGAAAACATATTCTTCGTAATCTACCATTTTGTGGGGATTTGAAGGGATAAGTTTACTTCACGAGCAATACCCCTATTTTTTACTTTCAGTTTGAACAAAATTTTTAATATCATCAGCTATCCAATCCAATCTTAGACACTAAACGAGCGCTTAAAGAAGAGGGATTTCGATGGCTCCAGTAACCAAACTATCAATTGTGATGCCCATAGAAAAACAGAAGTAATTAAAGGGAAAATTACAAAATCAAATCAAATCAAATACACCACTGAATCAGATCCCAAATAAGACTTTTCTTACCCTATAAATTTCCAGTAGTTCTTATCAATAGAGAAATCCTCAGTTTAAGCATACCAAACCAGATGCTTGAATAAATTAAAACAAAAAGCGATTCTTAAAAATGCATAATCTGTATGCAATCGATTATATCAACATAGAAGAGTGAGCTCCCTGTCACTGACCTTTTGCTGCGACACAGGTGAAGAGACGAGAGAGAGAGAGAGAGAGAGAGAGAGAGAGAGAGAGAGCTCCAGATCCAAGCCCTGCCCAAATCAGAAGATAAGTGAAGCGATTAATCGGTGCTTTTGCCTTTTAAGCTAAAAGCGGCTTTTTTCCAAATTCAAAATGGATTCATTCGGTTGGGGACAACGAGGAAAGTGCTGAGAGAGAGGGGGAAGGGCTCCAAATCCCGCGTTTTCTGTCCCAGATTTTTATGCTCCGAAAATGCCCTCCCACACGCCGTTTCATTTCCATGTCGTGATTTCAGTTTATTTACAAGACTGCCACTCAGATGCTTTTGGCCAAATTTCACTTTATTTACAAAAAATGCCACTCAGGCTTAAGGCCCGATTTTCAGCCGCTGCATCTCAGGTTTGACTCGGGGAGAGAGGGAAGGGGGACATAACGGCTGACAAATTGGAGAGAGACGATCGCTCCCATTTTTCACTCGGAGACAGCTGGGTGTGGCTGTGGCTGTGGCGAGAGGAGAGGAGGGGGACGGAGGGATTGGAGAGGATGGGGACAGAGGGATAAAGCTTCGGCTTCGGCTTGATGAGAGGGAGAGAGAGCCTGCGGCTTGCAGAATCACGATGATAGAAGAAGAAGCTCAGAAGTCTGATACGCCAAGTTGGAGAAACCCTAAAAACCAGAGAAGAAGAAGAAGCTCAGAAATCGGGTGAGGATGTTGACAAATCAGCAAGCCCAGTTTCAGGCGACTCTGCAAAACCAACAACCTGACCTCCGACGAGAGGAGATTCGTCAGATTCGAGCCGAACCGAGGCTGTCGTCGACTGAGAGAACATCATCAATCCCGACTTTTGGATCGACTCCCTCTACCTCCTCCCTGTCCGCGACTCCTGCTCCGTCTCTCTTCTTGCGAGTTTGCTCGGGTTCTGCTCCCCAGCTATTTCAAGCACAAAAACTTCTCCAGTTTCTTTCGTCAGCTCATACATACGTAAGCTCTTCGCCTCTTAATATTTTGATTTAGGCAAATTGTTAAGTTCTTGAAAAAAATTGAAAGCATTGTTCATTTTTGTCCCAAATTGGTTTGGTTCTGGTTTCGAAACATAAACTCCTTCATCTACGATTCACTTATTCCATTCCAGGTATTTCTCCGTTTCTCTTTTAATTTCTTACTTTTTTATTCAAGCGTTTAATTTTTTTATTAATTATATTACAAATAAGTATTATTGACCTTCATGTGGTACCAATCAATCAATTGAGAGATGAGTTGTTTGAATGTTTGATTTTACTTGAATCAGAGTCTCCAAGGAGGAGAAAGAGAACGATATGAATGATTTAGGGTTTGGGTGTTAGTGTGTGAGCAGGCGTATTGATGACTGTAATCAAGGTATCACTTAAGCTCTAATTGTGACTGGTAAATTTTGAATGACTGTTGGTTATTGTTAAAATCCCAAATGTATGCAATCCCACTTTCCAATTTGTTGTGTGAAGACACACGGACCACAATTGCTTCCTCTCAGCATAATTAGTTTCCACGATTACTCTTAAACCCTAATTATCCCTTCTCTCTAAAATCCATTTTTCGATTTCTGAATAGGGTAAATGGATATTGTTTCTGTGTGCAGATATTACTCGGAGAAGTTTGAAGGGCCCTGGGACAAGGAGGATTGCATTTCAGAGTAGCAGAAATACAAGGCCACCCTCTCTTTGCGTATCTAATCTTACCCTTCTCCTAAATTTTTATCAAACTATAGATTTATTTTGCTGATTTTATTTTTTGGGATTTATTACTTTTCCTTTAACTGGAAATTTTAGGGTTTTTAAAGTATAATGTTATCAAATTCTATTTTTCTAATTTTCTTATTTTTGGGCTTTGCAGAGAGGGCTAATATACTGAATTTTTTATCTTTGCATGATTTTTGGTCTTTGAATGGGTATGTGCTGCTTTTAACGTTTTGGTTCTCACCTGTTCCGTTCTTTGATTTTTGTTGTATGCCTCCTTCTAGGTTGCTTCGTGATTTTCATTTTCCATTGTTGGATTATGGAATTTGTAAAAATGGTTGTAGTTTTGTGACCAAATACCAGTAAGAGTGTGCCGAAACACAAATTGGCATGCAGTGAACATACATTGAATTTGAACAAAATTTAATATATAAGTGAAGGCATATGCAGTGAACAGACATGGAATTTGAAATTGATAGGGTAGTTAAGCTTCTGCCTTAGTTATTCTTTGTCACTCACTTTTGGAATTTAATTCATTCATTTCAAAGTCATTCATGTACTCTGTCTTACTCTATTCACACATTTTTAGTATGCACCATTGAATTTTTTTTTGTCATATATTATTCACTCATCTACTACACTAATGTTGACATTTGGGTATCATTTGTTTTCTCATATGTCCTATTTTTAAGGGAAATCTAATATATAAACGGATCAAAAAACTCCTGCTGCAGCACATTGAATTTGTTCAAATATTGATTGTTTTCACTCTATTCACTTCAGTTGTCGTCTTCTTCTTCGTTCTTTTTTCAATGGCAAAGCTGAACGATCCATGGAGCACATGTTGTTGAGCCTTTTGCTGCTACTGGTCTGGTCCAATTCGAATGAGTTGATGGAGTACAATCTTTAGGCCCGTTGGAGGAGCTGAAAAACCAGTCTCGACTCCGCCGACCGAGACATATTCCGAGATATGCTCCAGCTCAATAACAAATCAGACATCAGCCCAGTACACTACTCTCACTCTTTCCTGCTTTCATTTTCATTTTTTTTGGAATTTTGCGCTGAATTTCATTTGGTTAATTTGTGAAATTTTTTTTTCTTTTGTTAGGCAGCTTTTGGTGTGCCTGCGAATGTTGATTCGGCGATGCGTTTACAATAACATCAAGAGGGAGAGATTCAAAAGATGTTCCCAGTGTAGCTGTTTCAGAGTTGAAGAGGATGTTGATGCTTTTGCTGCAGAAGTTTCAGCAAGAATGATGGCGAGATGCACACAAGGATCAGGTTAGAGATCTGCGTTGTTTGACATTTCTGTGTAAACACTTTTGAGTCTTAAATATATCTCAAATTTGGGGTATCGGGTATGGGCTGCTAAGGCTGAAAGTTCTTTTGGCTCATACATTAAAGCGGCATGTGTGCTTTTGGCTCATTTCTGTACAAAAGTTGAATCTTTGAATCTGCTTATTTATGTTTTGAAATGAGTGTGTTTGTTCTTACTACTGGAAGTGTTTCATGTGGAGATTAATCTTTGAATCTGCTTATTCATGTTTTGGGAATGTTAATCTTTTTAATTTTTTCTTTCCAGGACGAAAATATTTAACAAAATGAATTGTGATTAGAAAGTTAATTGAAGCTCTGAAAAATTTCGTGGTAAAAAAGGATGACAGATTACTGTTGTTTTTTTTTCTCCTTCCTATCCAAAAATTACCTTTGATTTTCTTGATTGTGCATTTATTTAATATGTGCTATTATAATCGTTCTCAGTATAATAGCAGGACCTACTACATGAGCAAGACCAAGTAGCCGACCCTCTACAACAAAATCAGCCCGCTCGGAAACCCTAGCTTGAATGTGGTTCCAGAGCTCGACAACTGGGTCTACAATGGCAACAAAGTCTGAGTCATGGAGCTTCAGTGCATCATTCACGACCTCCGAAAGTGGAAACGCTTCTCCCAAGTCCTCCAGATTTCCATCTTTCTTTCTTGCCTTGCAATTTGTGTTATCCCCCGTTTGGTTGCTCATACAATGAAAGAAAATTGAGAGAAGCATCAAAGTAATTAAATTTTAGTTAAAGAAAGTGAGTGAAAGAGGGAATTAGGATTTTTATTAGTTTATGTGTTCCTCTCCCTCCAAACCTAATGGCTTAGCCTTTGATCTGATCAAACCCACCTCCAAAACCCTTCCTTGATCACCATCTTCAGCAACCCAATTCGGCGCTTACTCGGATCAGGACCTCTTGGAGATTCGGAGCTCCAGGTGAGATAATTTTCCCCAAATTTTCCCCAAATTGTATTCAATTTATCTTGCTTCATTTCATTTTCCATTTTAATTTGGAATTGGTTGATATGTTAGGTGGGTATTGCATGTATAACGAACAATTTTTTTGTTTGATTGGGGTCAAATTTTCCAACTTTCTTAGCTATTTGGTCCCGTGTATTTGAAATCTGAATAATATGAATTAGGGTTTTTCTGTTAGTGTCCAATTAGTGATGAAAGGATGCTTCTTTTTGTTATCATGCATATTTAATCTGTAAACATCTGAAAAGCTGCTTAATTGAAGTGAGATTTCCAGTTTTTTAACTCAATTTCATTTCTTATAGACAATTTTTTTTTCAAGATTTCTAGGTTTCTTTTTGCTTTTTCTCTGATAAATTACTCATCCGGAAGTTAATTTTGTTCAAATACCAAGTATTGTTCTTGAATTAAAGATTTCTGGATTTTTTTGCTGCTTCTTTTCTGTTAAATTACTCAACTAGAAGTTAATTTTGTTCAAAAACTTACTCTTCTTCAATTAATCTTACAAGAAAGCATATGAGATTGTGGCACATTAGGTGTTTGATGAAATGTGTCTGAGAATCTGTTAGTATAATATATTATAATTCTGAATCTCTTCTTCAGCTCTGCCCACAAGTGTGCGAAGGCGACATGGTCCTGGTCGACGGTTCGGAAGCTCTGGTGATTCTAACTGAAAAAGAGGTCAATAACAAGAAGGTGATGGAATTCAATGTTTTTTGTTTGTTATAGAGGCATATTTGCAACAGCATATCAGATAATAATTCTAGATAGTCTGTTCTGATAGCTTAGATTGTGTTTCATGATGCATATGGCTGAAGCGGTTTTGACTACTTTTTGGATTGCTCATTAATTTTTTAGCTGCCCTTGGCTGGTACAAATATATATAAGAAGTTTGTCATTTTATCAACTTTTACTCAGGTCAAATTTAGGATCCATTTGTACTCATGCGTAATTGGGGTAAAGTGCACATGCTTTGTTTTCTGTTGTATTTTTTCATCTAGGGGATAACGTTTTGTTGTTTGTTGGAAGGAATATTAAAACACATTCACACCCTATTTTGTCAAATTGTTCTAAAGTATCTCATGCTGGTTTTAGAATTCTCTCAACTTTCTAACTCAAATCTGTGCCAAGAGAACCCAACTAAAGTGGTTCGCTGCTCCATGTATGAAGTATTAGTGAATTATTTGTAATTTTACGAAACAAAACGAATTTTTTTGTGTTGTAAGCATACATATTGAAATTTATGTTATAAATTTTTTGGTAAGAAACAGATGTAAATTAGAATCATACTAATATAGGTATGCTGTATACATAACTTCGATGGTACCATAAGTTCAGAATTAATCTTTAGTGTCATTAAAAAATATACGTAAATTTATATACATAAATATGATAGCACCATTAATTTGGGGTACTGTTATATTTAGTACAGACAATATGATGTCGTTCAGGTGTATTTAACTAATATCTGCAGTTTTTCAATTCATCTAGGGTATTTGTGATTTGAACGACACTAAAAAAATTTATGGGTTATAGGAACCGCGGGTTAAGAAAATGGGTCAAATTTAGGTCGAAGTTGTAAGATCATTTACATATTACAGAATGAATGATAGCATCTTTGGGGCTGAAAATTGGAGTAACTTCGTTCCTTTTGTTAAAAAGATGAGCACAAATTGGTGAAGCAGCCAAAAAAACCAACTTAAGTAGAAGTTTAGAAGTTTGTCACTTCCTGATATATTGACTGAAATAACAAAAAGAAAATAATGTAGTTTTTGAAGATCGAAAACAACAATAAGAAAATGGATCCGAAAATATAGAGAACAAAGAACTAAGAATTCACTCCTCCAGAGTCCTTCAAATACTTGGCCTTGATTTTATTCAGTGCGACTAAGGCATCTTTCATGTTAATCCTTTCTTTCGGCAATGCTGCAGTGCAAGCTAAAGCTAATCTCATAACGGATGATAAGCAATCCCTCCTGCTCACGAAACCACCATCTTCCTCCGTCCCAAGTATATCGGCATCCACAACTTCATCTATAGCAGCATTTAGAAATAATGAATCTGCAATCCATTGCTTTAAATTCATTTCCCCATCAAACATCTCATCCGTTGGCTTCCTTTTTGTGAATGTCTCCATGAGTACAATACCAAAACTATACACATCCCCACTCGTCGAAACGCTTCCTTCCATCCCGAACTCTGCAAAATTTGTATGTGAATTTAGTTATGTATGATAAAAAGAAAATTATAACTCCTAATAAAACCAACATAAACAAAATTGAAAAAATACATCACCTGGAGCCATGTATCCAACTGTGGCTAAGGTCATTGTTTCCGTCATCGAATCTCCACTGCCGATGAGTCTTGCAATGCCAAAATCAGCAACATGTGCAACCATCTCATCATCTAATAGTATATTGCTTGGTTTCACGTCACAATGAACGATAGGTATCGAGTAACCTTGATGAAGATATTCTAGTGCCAATGCAACATCTTTCATTATGTCCAACCTCTGCAGGATAGTCATGGAGCGGTTTGGAGAATACAACCACTGTTCGAGGCTTCCATTAGGCATCAATTGAAGCACCAGGGCTTTGAAATCAAGTTCATCGCAATAACTTATGATTTTAATGAGATTCCGATGACGGATATTGCTTAGCATTTCACATTCCTTCGCAAAACTCTTGAATGCCCCTTCTAGCTGTAAATTGAAAACCTTGAGGGCGATATCTATCCCATCTGACAGTGTTCCTCTGTATACTGAGCCAAACCCCCCTATGCCTAGTAAGTTACTCTCGTGAAGTCCATTTGTCGCCCTTACAAGTTCTAGGCGCGAAACTCTTCTCCAAAGAACTTGACGTAGCAAGGCAGTTTCTCTTACAAGTTCAACATTCCTTTTCCTGCATAGCACCAGAATCAATGCAGCAGCCGCTAGGAGTATTACTGACATGACCCCTGAGATGATATATTTAGCTTTCCTCCAATTTGGCTCAACTTTTGTTCTATATTTGCATAATGGAACATGGAGTCGGGAAGTACTGCAGAGTGCACCGTTTGATACAAACGAATCATCAGAGAAGTTTCCGAAAGGCCCGCTGGTTGGAATTTCTCCTTGGAGTTTGTTGAAAGACAAATTCAGATGCTTGAGATACAAGAGGGCTTCCAATGACTTTGGGATCACTCCAGATAGATTGTTTTTGGACAAATCCAAGAATTCTAGGCTTAGCAAGGTTTTAAATGAACCGGGAATAGGGCCTTCTAAATAATTGTTTGCCAAGGACAAATTAATCATTTTCTGAAGACCCCCAATGCTACCGGGAATGTTTCCGGAGAAATGGTTATTTGATAAATCCATTACCACCACATCTTTCAACTTTCCGATGTCTTCTGAGAGTGGTCCAACTAGAGAGTTGGATGACAAGTTGAGGTCCAATAAATACTTGAGTTCCCACAAGGAAGATGGTATTTTTGAAGTTAACAAATTGGACCCTAACCATAGATATCTTAGAGCTACTGCCAAAGTACCCAAGCAGGAAGGAATAGAACCAGAGAGCCGATTACCATGCAAAACTAAACCGGCTAGGTTGTTTAGTTGACAGAGTTCATACGGGATATGCCCTTGCAGTTCGTTATCACACAAAGACAAAACTTGGAGATTTTGTAGCCTTTGTATTGAAGTTGGAATTACTCCACTCAACTGATTATTTCCCAGGTCTAGTGCTATCAAGCTGCTCAAGTTGCCAATTTCAACTGGAATGTTGCCCCTGATGTTGGAATGGAATAAACTCACAAGTAGGAGTGACGTAGAGAGATTCCTGCGAGAAGCTGGAATCGTGGTGTTTAGTGGATTGTCTGCCAAGCCTAACTTTGTCAAATTTCTAAGATTAAACAAGCAAGAGAGAGTGCTTGTTGCTTGTGGAGTAGAAGCATCAATTGTCAAATTATTCGAGCACAAGTTAAGATACTCGAGGTTTTTCAAGGAACAGAGCGTGCTAGGAAGAAACCCGGTAAATGAGTTGTAGCTCATGTCTAGCACCCTGAGCTTGGAAGCATTGGAGAGGTTAGGAAGTAGTCCAGCCACGAGGTTAGTTCTGGCTACAGCAAAGAATTCTAGGTTTGGAGCGCTAAGACCGATGTTTGCTGGGAGGCTACCTGAGAGCTGATTGAAAGAAAGCCCTATTCTTCTTATCGTGGAGAGATTGAAGAGTTTGGATGGGATGACGCCACTGAGATTATTTAATAGCAGTGCCAAAACCTCTAACTGCGGAAGATTACCAATCTCATCCGGTATTGTACCTGTAACAATTTCAGAACGCTTGTATTAAGTTTGTAAATTCAGTTTAACTAAAAACTAAAAACAAATTGATTATGAAATGCCCCCAAATTTATTACCTGTTAAATGATTCCCACCAAGATGAATCTTGGTTAAGTAGGTCAAATTGCCAAGACTTTTCGGTATGCTTCCACGGAAATTGTTAAAGCGTAATGAGATTTCACGAAGCTCTTTGCATTGCCACAGTTTGGAGGGAATCAGACCGTCAAGCTGGTTTTCACCGAAATAAAATTTTCGAATACTCGAAAGATGCCTACATATATTGTTCGGAAGACTACCACTCATGTTGTTTCCGGTTAGACTCAAAATAGTCAAAGAAGATATGTTGAAGACAGGCACAAGAGCAGAGGCTTTTAGGGCGTTGAACCCCACATACAACTCCTCCAGCTGAACTAAATTGTCCATCTCGTTCGGAAGTTCTATAAATCAATCCGTATATATTGTTAAAATCATGTAAACATATATAGGAGTAGCTTCTTACTGGGAATCCCGTTCTACCATATCAAAAGTGGGATAACATTATAAGGACCATGTGCTCACTATATAGGTTCTCTTTTTGCTCTAGAATACGAGGGTCTTACACAGTAAATATACAATTTTTATGATAGTCCTCTCATTTCATTTTTGCTAAAGTGGAACGAGATTCCTGCTAAGAAGGGGCTCGTATATAAACTACCTAGTACCTATTTATAGAACTCTGCTCTCAAACAAAACTACATAAAATTGCAATTTTAACCCTCACACCAAAACTGCACAAAAATAAAATATATGGGCAATTAATAATTACATGAACATAATTTTGCTATTATTTACGACAACCTCACAGCCAGGTCAACATAGCATGCCATATTTAAAAATTAAAAATAAAATAAAATAGTAAATAAAAAACATGCCTACTTTAGAAGAAACTGCTCATCATTGCCCCAATTTTTATAATTGATTTTTTTTTTTTTTTTTAGAATTTTAAAAACTAATCACACTTCATAGTAAAAAAAAATATGAAATGAAATTATTCACACACAGTGTGTGCAGGCATCTACTAGCATACATGTAACAAAACCTAAGTCATACATTATACCTTCGAACTTGTTGTCGTCAAGGTATATGCCCTTCACCATTGTTAAGTTGCCTATTTCTCTGGGTATGCTACCTGTTAAATATGTGCATGCATTCCAACAAAAAAGAAGGAAAAAAAAAACAAACAGATGATTGTTATAAATCTTATATATAGATGTTAAAATGAAACAAAGATGTTAAAATGTACTCATGAAGCAAGCAACATTAATTTATATTCCTCCAGCTGACCTAAACTGCCCATCTCGTTTGGAAGTTCTATAAATCAATCCGTATATATTGTTAAAATCATGTAAACATATATAGGAGTAGCTTCTTATTGGGAATCCCGTTGTATCGTAGCAAAAGTGGGATAACATTATACAGACCATGTACTTACTATATATAGGACCTCTTTTTTTTGCTCTAGAATACGAGGGTCTTACACGGTAAATACACGATCCTACAATGGTCCTCTCATATCATTTTTTGCTGAAGTTGAACAAGATCCCAGCAAAAAAAAAAAAAAACAAACAAACGAGATGATTGTTATACATCTTATATATAGATGTTAAAATGAAACAAATATATCAAATGTAATG